CTTGCCAGGTTTTGAGAAAAACACCAGTACCGTCTCCCCAAATTCCCTCCACGCTGCACTGTTTTATGATTCCTAATCTAAAACACAAACATGATGCTTAATGAGTATGTTTGTCACATGAGTAGCAGGAACAGATGAAGTCCTAAAGTTCCCTGTAATCTACTGGGAGAGATAGCTCAAGTGCTGGAGTCAGCACAGCCAGAAAACCTTCAAAATATTTTTCTTCAACTCTAATTTGCAAAACTGCAATGGCAAAGTTTACTCTAAGGAGAAACTGTGCTAACCACAGATTTATTTATTTTCTGCTGATCAACACAGCTATGTGAACAACTGACAGAGACATCTTTTTCTGCAGGAAGATGCCAGAGCTGCGGAGTTAAAAGCCAAAGCTTCAAAGTTGACACTGACCATATTTATTAACACCATTATGAGCTTCTTGTGGTTCATGCAGCTTTCCAGTATTGCACTGGGCTAAACGTAAGTTTTTTACTGTCCGCTCAGGAGGCTGGCAAGGCATAGCACACGGCTGTAAACACATCACATGGTATCTCCTGGAAGATGACTGCACTGCTCGTAATCCTCGCTTTCATAGCAAGACAATAAAACCCCATGAGAAACCATTTACCTCTCAGAACAGACTTGACTTGTTTGAAAATGTCTGTTTCTCTCGCAAGACTTGAGGTGGGGGAGCTTAGACTAGCCTCTTTGGGAGTCAGGCAGTCAGATCATCTTTCTCCCTTGGGCACAGCTGCCAGATACCACCATTCCTTATGCACTGGCTGCAGTCGCTTACAGGAGATTTCACACCTGGGAACCAGTGAGCCTAGCTTCTGCTCCACAGACAGGCTTGGAGGCCTGCCATGCCAACTTTACATATCCCTCTGGGATACTTACGTCCCTTCACAATGGTATTTTCTGATACTACAAAACTTCTAATTACACATTAACCCTTTAATATCAACCTGTACTTGACCTGCCTAGAAAATGATGAGATTTCCTGCAAGTGCAAAACACACTGTAGGTAAAAAACCGGCCCATTCAAATTGTGGGGAATTTTTATATCAGTGCAAGTTTCCATGTTTATATTTTTTACTTCTGAGGAATTTTTCACCTATTTTCACAAAACAGTCTCTCTGTATTTTTTCTTTTTTGTTATTTTTCTTTCTTTGGAAACATCACTGGTTTTTTTACATACCACTTGCAAAACTGTTTACTGTTTTCCAAACAGCTCTTACTGGTGCATATCAGTCCTGAAAAATCACAAGTGCTTCAGATCTGTCAGGAATCATTATTATGTTAATCCTTCATAGACCTACAGAATACCACAAATTGACTGGGACCTCTTCAGATTATCTAGGCCAATCCCCCTGCACAAGCGGGTTGCTCAGGACAGTGTAAGTCTTTTTGAAAAAACTTCTTATGTTTAAACAAAATGTCTTCTATTTCAGTTTATGTCCATTGACTCTTGTCCCGTCACTGGAAATCACTGAGGAAGAGTCTGGCTCTTACTCCTTTACTCCATGCCATCAGGTATTTATACACATTTGTAAATCCCCCACGACTTCTCCAGATTGAACAGTCCTACTTCTCTCAGACTGTCCTCATGTAAAAGATGTTACCAGTCACACTGATCACCTCCATGTCCCTTTGCTGGACTCTCTCCAGTGTGCCCCTATCTTTCTTGTACAGAGGAGCCCAACATCGGACACAGTATTCCAAGTGTGGCCTCACCAGTGCTGAGCAGAAGGAAAGGATAGCCTCCTCTGACTTACTAGCCATGTTCTAACACAGTCCATGATACTGCTGCCTGCCTCTCGCACAAGGGCACGCTGGAGGTTCAACATGCGTCTGCCTTTTCTGCCAGTCTCCTTTCTCACTGGGTGGCCCCAGTCTGTGCTGGTGGATGGGCTGCTCCTCCCCAGGTGCAAGGCTTTTAACTCCCTGTTGTTGAACTGCATAAAATTCCTCTTTGCCCAATTCTCAGGCCAACTATGTCCCTCCCGGTGGAAGCATATCTGTCTATCACCCACCCCTCCCAGTTTTGTATAATCTGCTGCAAAACTAAGGGCGTGCACTCTCCTGTCATCCACACCATTAACAAACATGCTAAACAGCACTGGATGCAGACCAGTGCGTTTGAACACAATTCCATGTAGGAATAGTGCATTGGAGTTAAGAAGCAAATTTTTATGTGTGTATTTGGCAGCCATCTCACCAATGACACTGTCATGCTGTTATCCATGTTTCTGTCACCATGAGCTTGAACTACTGCAAAAGCATAGCCAGCTGCTTTGAAGCTCTGCAGCAATACCAGGTGGCACAGAGACTGAAGCTATTGCCTTCCCATCTGAGAGAAACAATCATGTTACACTGGTGCCTGCAGATAGGATCCAACCCTCTGGCTTTAACTGAAAAACTCTTAGATGGTTTGGACTTGTTTACATAAGAGGCCTGCTTCCCCACATTCACCGATTAGCTAACAGCAGTTAGACATGTTGACCATCCAACAGAAAAGGAGTATCTGCTTGTAGGCAAGTTTCTGTGAAAAAGCTTCAACAGCTGAATTTGCTGCAGTGTGGGCCCTGTGTGGATTTGGGTGCTTCTGGCAGAACTATCTATTTAAGAAACAATTTGGGGCAGAGAGGGATTCAGGATCTTATTTGAAAAGTCCCAGGAGATATTTTTTTACCATGATTACATGCTGTAGTAAGAGAGATAAGTTTGATTTCTTGCATAAATTACAGCTATTAATAACTGAATTCTAAATTTAAATATTAATTATTATAATGAACCCTTTAGTACCTAACAATTATAGAGTGTTACAAACTCTGAAATAAACACTACAAGTCTCTAAATAAACAACATATTTGTGGCCTTCTTCTTCCACATAGGAGACCTCAGGGCAATAGACTTGAAAGTTTTGGGGTTTTCATTCACTCCACAGAAAAGCAAACAACCTTCAGAGTAAGTAAGAATCAGACCCTGAATCCCACTGGATTTTCTTCTTTTGATGGAATTTCCACCTTTCTCTCATCCATTCTTCTGCTTTATTCTTCTCAAATTCTCCTTCAAGACCCTATGTGCTGGTACACTTCAGACCTCTTCCACATCTAATCTCTCTTCATTTTGCAAACTAGCAGTTCACCGTATTTCTTATAAACAAGCAGGCTCCAAGATATGCAAAGGCTAATCTCACAATTCCAAAATTGTATCCTTAAACTCTCACCTATTTCTGTACCTAATTCTATAGTCAACAACTTCTTCTTGTATTTGTCTTTGATTCTGCTCAAAGCTCTCACAGCCTGTTTTTTTGGCTGTGAGGAACCACATTCATATGTAGTGGTAAGGGTGAAAGAAACTGCAGTTACAGCTAAAGTGGGGCTGGAAAGGGCCTCACAAAGCAAACACAGAGCTCTCAAAAGAGTTTCTTTCTGAAGAATACTCTGTTTCTCAATCACGCCTGGCTGGTAGCTCAAACTAGGGTTAGGATTAAGCACTGGTTTTGAGAGAACAAGGAAGATTTAATATGCAGCTGGGATGGGGCTAGAAAAGGGCTGACAAAAGAGAAGGGTTGCCAAAAGTTCTTCTCCTGGTAATGTTGAGGATATAGCCTCAGCCACCTCATGAGCCTTTTAGCCTAGCCTAGGCTTAGGGCTGGTGGAAAGGAAAAGGAGTTGAGCTGCCAAAGGATACAAAGGGCTGTAAAAGAATATTCCTCTGAGGAACGGGCAGTCCAGGGAGCTGCTGCTGTAGAGTTTAGGGTTAAGCTTGGAAAAAAACACCATTTGGGGTGAGGCTGGAGAGAGTACGCAAGTAAAGAGTTAAGTTTAGCCGATGGGGGGAAGCTTAGTGCCTCTAAGGGTTGAAGGCACCTTCAAGGTTCAGCAAAGGGCAAGACTGTAACGTAAGGGCTGGAAAAAAAAAAAAAAAAGTTTCTGTAATAGATGTACACAATACTGTATTTTGTGCTTATCTGGCATGTGGGCACCTCTCTTAATTTATGTAATATATCCACATGGAAGAAACACATAACTCCAAGGATAAGTTAAAATAGGGGAGATTCATCCCCAAATTTCAGCAGTAGCTTAAGGTGGGGCCAGAATGCTTAAGGTCTGCAGCCTGTTTCCCTGCCTTGGCCCTGCCTAGGGGCTACTGCAGAGGAGCCACCGTCCCTGCGGCACACCTGGGTGCACTCGTTGCCAAACCTCTCCTCCCTGCCATTTTACAGCCGGCGTCAGCACACCGAGCAGCTGACAAAATGGAGGAGGGGAAAGCGCATAGCACAAGATGGATTGTTACAGTCCTCGGAAGTAAAGTTAACTTTGGAGGAGGCCTCGCTCGGGTATTTCCACACAGCTCATGCCACCTGCTGGCAAGCAGGAGCCGCTGCCTCGCAGCAGCAGCCCGGAGGCACGCAGGCCCTGCGGCACAGGCCTGTCGAGCCCCTCTACCCCTGCCGACTACGCAGCCACGTCTGACCCCTCGGGGCCGTCTGGGCACCGCTGTCTACATGCATTAGGATCTCTGGGGCAGCTGGGGCCTGCAGACCACTCGTCATCTGCAGAGGCCAGGCTAGCCTGCTGCACCCCGCCCCGCGGGAGGGGACTGCCGCACTGCGCCTAGCCTCGCCTTGCCTCCCCTCTCTTTCTCTTCCCTTCGCTGCTGGAGCGACCCCGCTGGCTCCAACGCCCGGCGGAGTCCCGCTCAAAATGGGGGCTCCACGGTGAAATGGCTGCCAGTCAGCGCTGTTCACCCTTTGCCTCCCGGTGGGAGCGGCCGCTGCATCGCGTAGAGCGCTTGATTGACGGTCTGCGCTAGCCGCGGTTGCGTCAGGCAGACCCAGCCTGTGGGGCTTCCAGAAACTTCCCTGCCCTCTCCAAAAATGGCTTCCACACTCGGCCCACCGACCGCACTGCGTCACTTCACTTGGCCTTCCCCAGCCAATGGCGCTTGCTTGCTCCGGAGTCACGTGGGGTGAGTGAGCCAGTCGCCTTGAGAGCTTGGAGCAGCCTGGCGTCACTTCCGTTCGCTGGAGGCGTTGTTGCGGAGCTGTGTGTTGGGTGTCGGGGAAGTGTCGGTCGGGGTGAGAGGGTGAGGAGCGACCACGTAGGTGTGCAGGGGCAGCGGGGTGGGCGGCAGGGGTGCAGCGGGACGGGGCTCCTTGGGGCGCAGGGGCGGAGCTGGCAGCGGCGGGAACAGGCTCCTCCCGAGAGTGACTGAGGGCCCGCGGCCTGGTCTGGGCCTAGGCGTGAGGCGGGCGCTGGACGCGTCCCTGTTCCCTTAGTGGAGTCACGCCGCTCTGCCTAGGCGGGAATGGGCTTCTTTATGCTTTGGTAGAGGAGTAGGTTCGCTGTGTTTCCTTACTGTTGTGTTTGCCAGTTAATATGCTGCAATGCGGATGGTGTTTTGTTTTCTTTTTAATGCCGGTGTCGTTCATCCTTGTTCTTAATTTAATGCTTGAAGTTGTCTTGCTTTAGTTACCAGTTTCAAAAACCTATCGTAAGCATGGAGTTGCCACTGTAAATTCCTGCAAACGGTGTAATCCCAGTGGAAGAGTGGGTTTAGTGGCATAAACAGGATAAGTCTCTGAAACTAATTTAACTTAAGGAAGGAGGATTTCATAACTGAGCTTAAAAGTGAAGTAATATTTTCTGGTAGCAGGGTTATTTCACCACTTTATCTTGTTTGGGGTTAATGCTAGCTCTCCCCTGCTGTGGATGCTCATTTCTCATGCAGCTTTAAAGTTACCTTTAAAGTTGTACAAACAGTTGTGTGAAAGAAAGCATTGGTTGTTGGGGCATCTTGTGATGTGAGAGGTTGTGTACAGTCAAAGTATTTGTACCTACAGCAACTTGGGTACTTTGTGTAATATATGCACTATTTATGGAAGTAAGCCAGCAGTTTTAATACTACTGCAGTCTGGAGTCCACTTGCCCACGAGTGATGTCACCGTTTTCTGGTCAAAACTGCACAAGTTGCCCTGGACTTGTGTTCTGGGCTGTGACCTTGACTTACTACTGTCTCTGTAAAGCTAATTAGCTCTTCAAAGGATAGCTTAATACCTGTCTAAAACTTGTTCTAGCCTATATATTGTGCTGTTTGCTTATTTGGGTTTATACTTGGCTGAAATTCAAATAGATTTGGATCACCTTTATGAGCAGTTATTCAGAGAACAGAGCACTCATGAAGTGTTATGTCTCAAAGTTTGTTGATAAAGTAACTCAAACGTAACTACATAAAGGGTTCTTACGTCATTTATATGTATGACAAATGGTATGTTCTCCTGTTTTCAGGCCAGTTGTGAGAGAAGTCTCTGGAAATGGAAGACAAATAGAGATAGAATTGAACTGTGTATTTAAGAAGGTTCTATTTTTTATTACATAACTCTAGTCATAATACTGTTTTTGTTACATAACTCTAGTCATAATACCATTTCTATTACAGTCTGTAGTGTAGTTGAGAGCAAGTAGTAAGTGTACCTTGTTTTCTGAAAACCATGTAACTAAATAGTAAAGCATGTTTTTCTCATGCCCTTGCAGGAACACAGTGTATTAAATTACCTAAGCAACCATGCTGGCTGCAAGGCTAGTATGCCTGAGGGCATTATCATGCCAGACTATCCGCCCCACCATTACTCAGACTTCCCCAGCTTTGAGGAACTCCAGTATAAAAGCATACAGGCTCTGGCAGCCTAACCAGGTAAGGCAGTTCTGTTTCTAATGATTCTGAGTGCTGATATCTTAAAGGGTTGAGTGTTTTGCCAAAATAATTGCTTTACATGGAGTACCTGTTTTGAATGATCATGAGCCTCGTGTTTCTTTGAGGTACATGCTCTGATTTACAGAATAATGTTACTCAGTCAAAAACCAGGGTTTTAAGAACAATTGAACTAGTATCCTCTATTTCAATTATTATTTGCCCATGTAAATTTGAAAAGAAGAGCTTAAATGAGATAATTAACAATGGACAAGTCTTTCTATGTAAGGTAGAAGCAGCAGAAAGTCTTGTCTGACTTCTTGTCATAGCTCCCTGCTTCCAAGTAAGGCTCTTGAACATAATATTAAATATATATACCTTGAGTATAATACTAAAGTAGAAGCTTTCTTTTCAAAGACTTTAGTGTGTTTAAAGCTGTTGTCCAGGTTAGAGCAAGTTCTGAGTTACGGCAGGACTACCATTGGCCTAACCAGCAATTTTGAAAACTGGACTGTTGTCACCCTAAGACACTGTTTATTCCTCATTTAGGGAAGATATTTCAGGCACGCTTTCTGCTCAGGTGACAACTATTAAAATGCTAGGTTTTGATAGATGCAAAACACATCAAAACTGAAATGCTGTGGTAAACTTCCTGATTTTTATTGCTCTAATGGCTTGTAGATTTCAGCTTTTAGTGTTAAACTCACAGTTTTGAGTGAGCTCAGGTGCGTGTATAGTAATTTAGAAATTCCTGGGACAGTGGTAAGGAAACTTCAAATGTTGTTCCTGAAGTGAAATATGAGTTTATTGTTTGTTGCTCTTTCAGATTACTAAGACTTTGAGCAACATCTTTTGTTTATTTGGAACTTGTCAGCCTTAAAAATCTTTTACAAGCCTTCATTCAGGGTTTGTTCTCTAAATCAAGGCTAGAGTTCAAAGCAGAATTTGTGATGGCTTTGCAAATTGAGTGTCTGTAAAGTGCAAGTATTGTGCAAGAAGAGCGTTTATGTGGAGTGATCTTGCACAGAAAGTAACGTAATTTTTTAATGTAAATGTAAAGAGTATGTTTTTATATTTAAAAAAATAATCCTTGTGGGACTAAAGTAAAAGAAATACAGACTGAAAATCAGCTTCTGAAATTCTCTGCATTGGTGCTGTACTACTAGAATGTGTGTTACTCACAACAGTTCCTAAACTTTAATGTTCAGTTGTTTTCCTTGAGCAAAGTTACTTCATGTGTTTGGGAGCTAAGAGACTATTTTAAATGCAGCATGTAAATTTATAAGAAGTGTCTTCTGTCTTGTTTCATTTAGTCTTTTTTTATGTTGTATCTGAATCTAACAGTGTTACGCCACGAGAGTAAGAACAGGTGTAAGGCGTGGAAAAATTGGCCAGGAAATTAAAGAAGCAGCATTTGAGCCATCTGCAGAAACTGCACTTAAAGGTAAGGTAGCTGTGCTTTAAATACTGAGAATCTTAGAAGCGTAATTCAAAATTTCCTTGAAGGAATCAAGTTTCCTTCAAATAATTAAAGAAACTGAGAATATTGTTTCATGTGTAAGTTGGCTTAGGAAACTCCATCAAACAGCTGGAGACAGTTTCTCTGCTTGTCTTTCCTTGTAGAGTTTAAAATTACAAATGTGTCACAATATAGAGAAATTACATGTTTCCTCTTTAAGCTGCTGTTGAGAACTGTTCAGTGAAAGTGGTTGCCTCTTAATGGAGACTTGGTTGTGGGTATTAAAAAGTATGCACGCTTGCTTTGTTATATCTACTTTGTATAGTGTCTAAAGGAAGGGGTTTTGTACAGCATGTAGAGTTTGTAAAAAAGTTTCTAGTGTTACATGGGCATTGTCTTGCAGTGCTTTTTAGTACAGCTAGTGTGTAAGGGATTTTTTAGGTAGCAGTATCTGATAGAAGAGACTTGTAAGTATCCTGTAATAGCACTGAGTTAAACTGCATGTAGATTGGCTAGTGTCTTGATTATAACACATTAGGAAAACGCGTAGACTTGGGGTTACACAACTGAAAGTCTTTGGTCTCAGCAGCTCTTCTAATATAACAGTATTTTATGATTGATATTTCTGTTAGTAGCAGTAATCTGATACCTACACCCAGGCAGTATGCCTAAAAATCAGACAGCAGAAACGGATGGTAAATCGTGTGGTGGTGTTCATGAGCTTTGGAAATCCTTTTATAAACTTACTTGAATCCAGTTGCTGCTGAAGAGCCCTGGATGGAGCAAGTATTTAAGGGCAGATGAATGAGAGGAACAAATACAACACGTAGTTTTTCTCCTGTTCTATAGTGAGTTGGATAGTGAAATGGTATACTGAATCAGCTGACAGGTGAATTCTTCTGCTGGAGAACCTGTTAACTGGTTTTATGTTGGAATTGCTGTCACGAATGAAGGTCGGTAAACCTGGCATGTTACTAGTTGGTCTCTTATTTCTTACACTATTTTATGAAGTTATATTGTGTTGATAAGGTGAATCTAGAGTTTTTCATGTGTAGCTCCTTGAGAACTGGTAACTTAAGTGGAACTTTAAGAAAGAAGTCTTAACATGGATCAGCTATTGCTGATACAACAAAACTCGTGAGGATGTTACTATTCAAGAAAAAGCATTCATAACAATGTGGATATTTTTTTCTTCTTCATACAGCTGATCGCCTGGGGAAATTTATTGTTGCTGGAGGGGCTGCTGTTGGCCTGGGGGCCCTTGCTTACTATGGAATGGGCATGTCCAGTGAGATTGGAGCTATTGAAAAAGCTGCGTAAGTAAGATGGCTTTCTGTTTTAAGTGAATCTCCCTCCTCATTATATGTCTCTTCTTTTGCTGCTAACACCCAGTGTACACAGAGCTTAAGGGTTTTTTTAAGCTCTGAACAGAAAGCTCTCACTGCTTTCTGTACAGGATTTTAAAGAATGTAACTGAAAGCAAAATTTAAATTACTCAGGTTTAAGTGGATGTTGACTTAAGTGACTTGTTTTGCTAAATTTGAAATTTATTTGTGCAGAGTATATAAATATGCCTTATGAGGTGTGCCACAGCTACTTTATGAAGTGTAGTCTGCTGTAAAACTTGTTACAACCACTTTGCCTGGTGTTCCTGTGAGACTATTCATTAAACTTCAATACTGCATGTTGGAAAGAGAGTCTCCTTGGAACACGCTACTTACCTTGGTATAAGCTATGCTCTAATAAATACGTTTTACTTTGGTATCTGAGGAACTTTTCATTGATACATATGTCTGTGTTTGGTTTTTTTCCTCCAAAAGCCTTGAAGTAATGGGTCAAAAAAGTGAAATGAGAGAAAATGTGTGCATTATGTTTAAGTTTGGTGTTAGCAGGGAAAGCTTGCTGTCCATAATATGACGAAATCATACTGCAAAAACTCATTCATAATGTCTAAGTCTGTTGCTATTGTTAGAGCTCTCAAGATGACATTCATGCCTGTGATGTCAGATAATCATGTGGACTGTGACTCAGCAATCTGTGAGCTCTTAGCAAGCTACTTAGTGCTCAGTTCCCATTCTGTAGGCATTTTTCTTAAACCAGTTTGTTATACATACACCATTCTCTATTTTTCCATGGTTAAAAAGTATTTGTTATTCTGTTTCCTCTGTATCCTGTTTTCTTAGAATTGAACTGCAGTTATCGTTATTTGCAATTTGCACTGTTTCTAGAGAGTTCTGTTACATTAGACCAGCAAGATTTAAAAGTTTAACTCCTGTTACAAGACAAACTCATGGCAGAAGTTGCTAGATCGCACCACTTTTATGAAGCCTTATGTATATCAATAGCTATGAATATATTTAACAGCTTGATTATGTTTTCAGTTAATCTTTATTCTGATACTGGTAATCATACAGCTGTGCATGACTTAGAAGTTATATGCTTATTTTTCAGTATTTGGCCACAGTATGTGAAAGACAGAATTCAAACTACTTACATGTACTTTGCGGGAAGCATTGGCTTGACGGCACTGTCTGCTGTAGCAGTAAGCAGATCTCCAGCTCTCATGAGTCTTATGACAAAAGGCTCCTGGCTGGTAAGCTTATGTTATAAAAATAAAAAACATTTACTGGGAAATGACCTTAAATGTGATGGTTGATATAAAAAAAATATTAAATGTGGATTACTTGGTGAAAAGTAAGTCAAAACTTCACTTACATTGATCTTCTTATCCATTAAGATTATGTAAGTATGTTAATGATATTCTGTGGTTTAGGATTTGGTGATTCTAACTACATGCTGATGTGCACCTTCTATACTACTTCGTAGTTTGTCAGAGACAAATTATATAAGAAAAAAGTCCATGCTGTGCTATCCTTACCACCTGTATGCAAGAGGAAGCTGTTGTAAATAGTCATCTGAGGCTAATGAAGCTGTTCCTGTCACTTTCTAAAATGGAAACTGATGTCCCTGTGCATTCCTGTTTCTCCCTGTGCTTTTCTGTATAGCTCTTTTGAGATCTCTCTCCTGTTTGCCAAGACTGAAATGCTACTAGTAGGCAAATCATCGAAGCGTACTGCTAACAAAATGTGACTGCTTAGTACATACTTGGTGTGTTGAGTGCAGTGATAATAGTTAAATGCCAACATTTACATAATTTATGGAGATTAATTTAATAATGCATCCTTGTTGATAAATCAGAATTGTATGGTTTTGACCAGTGTGTTAGATGCTGGATGATTCTGCTTGGAACCATCTGTAAGAGGAGGCATTGAGGTTTAAAAAGCATTGGTGGCAAAAGTGTGTGAACTGAGTACTAGCTTTGTGTAGAGAAATGTACAAGACAAAACTAAGACTGACATTTCAGATAGGCTAATGAGGATTGGAGTAAGGGGCAGAACTGTATGTTTTCTTGATCTTACATTACACAATTAAGAGATGGTTGCCATTTTACCACTAAACTTGGGTTCCTAGAAGCCTAAATAACATGGGAACTTACTGCAAGCTAGGGTGAAGAAGCTTTTTACTGTGACCTTACAAGAGAAAAACTGACAAACACCCCAATTATGAATTAGGTTGCTCTTCTCAGATTTACTCTACTGACTTCAGGAAGTGAGAACAGAGACTATGCCCTAATGATAACTTGAGCACTGTAACACTTTTTTTACAGGCAATAGGCGCAACTTTCGCAGCTATGATTGGTGCTGGAATGTTGGTCAGGTCCATATCCTATGAAAATAGTCCAGCTGCTAAACATTTGGCTTGGATGATGCATTCAGGTATGTGATTTTAGTTTTCATTGTAGAGATGTCTGTGCTTCGGTGTGACCAGATTCTTAATTTAAGGAAACTTTGACTTTAAGGCAGATTTCTATATACTGCTGTAGGAGAGTTAGATTTTTTTCAGAGACTTGAATGTCAGGAAGATTCCTTAAGTGCTCATATTTTTTCATAATCTTCTAAAAGTCATGCTCAAGTTAAAATTGTGATATGTGTATGCCACATCGGATAGAACTAGTTGATATCATATCTGCTTTGGGTTTGTGATTGCTTTCTGGGACCATAGCTTCTAAAGCACTATACTTCCTGTTCTCCAGTTCTGCAGGGTAAGAAAGTATTTGAAAACTTGACTAGAAAAATACTTTTTTTTAGTATTAAACTGCTTAAATATATGTGCCCATCAGGTGTGTAAGCTGCGACTACAGATCGTTTTCTCACTAATGATGCCTACTTCAAATAACAGTGGCTATTACTTTTCAGAACTGTTTCTCCAGAAATAATTCATGGTCCATGAAAAACACATGTATGTTAAGCACTAGAGTTGTATTTTCCTCTCTAGAGCTAACATTTTGACGAAGAAATTGTGTTTATTTTGGTGATTGCTAAGTTAAAACCTAATGTGATATTAATAGACTAGATAAGAGGTTTCATACATGATTGTAGCAAAAAGTCTGACTTAATTACTTAACTATTGCCTCAGTAATTATTGTAGCAGAAATCCATTCTGCTTTTCATAGTTGAGTGCTCCCATGCCTGGTACGTATTTGATCAGTCTGTGGCAGGTATCTCTTACCAGCTCTGTTCTGAACATACTAGTATGTTACTGTTAGGCTTTCTTCCAAAGATCAGCTCCCTGAAGTGCTCCTCAGAGCTAGATAAAAGTAAGTCATGGAATTTAAGGTTGCTAGTTTATTGTGATCCCTTCTGGGTAGGTGCATGATCAAGTGTGTTTGAGCCATGTTACCTGGCTGTAAAACAAAATTGTTTTGGCAGGTGGTGTTCTTACCAGATCTGTTCCGAATATAATGGGTGGTGTTTTGTTTTCCTTTGCTAGGTGTCATGGGTGCAGTGGTGGCTCCTCTAGCCTTCTTGGGTGGTCCTTTGCTGATCAGAGCTGCCTGGTATACTGCTGGAATTGTTGGAGGTCTCTCCACTGTCGCCATGTGTGCTCCAAGTGAAAAATTTCTGAACATGGGAGGACCCCTGGGAATAGGCCTAGGCTTTGTTCTTGCCTCTTCAATTGGTAAAACACTGTTTTAATACTATCAGATAAAGTAGGTTATAAAAGTAAACTGCTAGGATGCGGTTCCTGTTTAATTGCAGACTGATCTGTCCGATTAAGTTTTGCTGTAAATAGCCCTTGCAGGCCTAGCACAGCAGAAAATACTCTGTTAAATGTGTTCTTGAAAGTAAATGTGAAGTTACAGTTCTGGCACGTTAATCTGAAAAATGGCCAGTAGTGGTGGCTTGTATTTCTAGTTACTGCTAGTGGGTAGGGAAGACAGTAAATGTGATCCGAGTTCTTGGTCTATTTGTTCTTCTCCCTTTTGTGTTTCTAGGTATAGTTGTAGTCCTAGGGTCAGAAACACTTTCATATGAAATACCTGTGATTCCCTAAAGTGTTCAGAATTACTAGATCAGGCTGTATATGTGACATCTTCAGCTTGTATATTAAAACTCTTGCTATCAAAAAGCACCACAAATTGAGAATTGAATACTCACTGAAAAATGTGTGCTACAGTAACCACTATTTGACCCAGCTCAGAGTAGCAGATATGTATAGTAGCAGTCTTTAATACGGTTGTACGTTGTGCATTCCTTTCCAGGGTCCATGTTCTTGCCTCCCACTTCTGCTTTTGGTGCCGGCTTGTATTCGGTAGCTGTTTATGGTGGATTAGTACTCTTTGGCATGTTCCTGCTCTATGATACGCAGCATGTTATTAAGCGTGCAGAAACTATTCCATATTATGGAGTAACAAAATATGACCCAATCAATGCGTAAGTATTATGTGTTAATGCAGCTGATCTCAATGGCTGTGTAAGCATTTGCTTCAGGCTGTATCAAACTACGCTTTTAAACTATGCCAGACCTTTTATTTACTGTTCAGAAGTGTATTGCTATTAAATGTGAAGGATCACAGGGTCTAAAGATGTTGTGTGAAAATAGCTGGTGGAGTTAAAATTGAAAGCATCTGCCTGAAATGAGAGAAACAGGGGTGAATGTGGTGTCACATGCCTCCAGCAGTACTTCCAAAAAGCAGTTTTGTTTTTAAAGCATTGCTGAGAGAATTCATAGCTGTTTTCCACAAATATCTGTCAGTATCATCTGAGACAAAAAATGCTAACTTTTTCATAGTCATTTAATATTTGCTACCCTTTGTCACTAAATAAAAATATTCAACATTGTGACAGATAGTTAAAGATGGATTAATTGACTCCCTGTAAATGTTGTCTGTCTTATCGTGAGTTATCTCCTTTATTCTGATTTTCTATAATTAAAATAGAATAATACTGACCTTCAAAATTCTTGGAGCTAAACAGATTAAAGAGCAGCATAAAAGCAGAGAGCTCCTGTATGAGAACAGCATACTGTCTGTTACGGCAGGGATGGTAGAACAAAAATACAGGGGTTTTTTGACATACCAAGCACTGGGGACAATCATAGTTGAGTTTTTTTAGAGACGCTTTGTGAAGGCTTTTAAAAATGAAGTGTAATGGTGTGAAATACAAATACTATTTCTGTTCAATAGTAATTCACTTTTATTTCCTTTTTTCTAGGTGTATGGGTATCTACACAGATACACTGAACATCTTCATTCGGGTGGCCACCATGCTTGCAGGTGGTGGAGGTAGCAGGAGGAAGTAAACCAAGACTGTGTGTCTGACAGCCTACCTTAATGCACATACTAAATAAAAATTCATGGTTACAAGAAGTTTTGCTGCAAATCAGGAATATAAAGCATTTCAGCACATTGTTTCAGTGCAGTGTGATTCAGGCTTACTAGTTTTTCTTCAAACACTTTCCAGCTCATTGTTAAAATAGTGTGAACTGCTTCTAATTGTACATTATTTTGAGGAAGTAAATTATTTTTAATATATGAGTAAAATAGTCTGTCTGCTTTTTAATGGGTTTGACAGCAATTCAGCTTTTTTTTTTTTTTTAACTGTTGTTGCGTAGTAATGGCCATCATTTCTAAACAGTATCCCTTACACAAGTAGGGACACAAGCTACTTTATGAAATGCTGTTGGAATGTGGCATTTTTTTCAGTGAAGATCGCATAAATGATATTTCAGTGACACCTTAAGAACAAATTATGGCAGTAAATGCAGTAATGACTTCTGCCTGGGCAGATATTTCAGCAAGGTTTAAGCAGTTGTCAGAAATGCATTGGATTTGACCAGTGAGGTGACCAAAAAGTGTAAATGAAGCACGATGGGGAAACCATGCGGCATTTGTCCCATGTGAACTTCAGTCTCCTTCTGGAGTGCAAATGAGAACTCAGTGCTTTAATGCTGAGTGGGTATAATAGCTATGTTTTTTTTGTACTAGATTTACCAAATTACTGAATAGCAATAGATGTGTCTGTCTTCCAGTGACTAAATCTCGGTATTGTGGGTGAAGCTCTGTCCTTCAGAAGAGCTCTTAGTGCTTATCTCTGACGAGCTTGTACAATTGGCACAGAAAGAGGGAATTGAGGGTAGACTGCTATCAACCCAAGTATCATAAATTTCCCATACTGTTGTGTGCTTCAGCCTGTAACTTTACCCCCAGTTGGTATGTTTAGCTTGGTTTAAAAGGATTGTTGCCTATCAGTGAAATTGATTTAATATTAAGAAATAAATACTTACCAAACTCTGTTCTTTTATGCTGAAATAAAAGGTGAGTTCTTGGGCACAAGAAAGTTTAAAGGTAATGTCAACAACTCTTGACTTTCAATTTCATAAACATGCTGTGCTTATGTATTGACTATGAACAATAAAATTCTAGTCTCACAAGCTGACAACTCTCTGTCCCTGTGTTAATAGAAATTTTAGTGCCTCTGCACTAATAACTTGAAGAGTATTAAAGATTTTTTTTGGCTACAGTTTCATTTATAAGAGAGTTTGTATTCCTCTGTTCAAGAAATCAACAAAAACTATATCCAGTTTCACTGGCTAGAATATTTTGGGGATGTTTCCCAGATGGAAGATGCTGATCTCAACTTGCTTCAAGTGGTTCTGTTAGTGCAACCTGTTGGCTACTGACTACAGCAGCCCTGCTTTCATGTCTGTCGTATACCATAGTATTTTTAGACTTGTAAAGCATAGGAAGGAAGCTGGATTGTGCAGAACCTTGTTGCAAATCCTTTGTGCCTAAAGATGATATGGCACAGCCTAGTTCCTGGCATTGTTAACAGCTGAAGAAAAATGTGTAGTACTTAAAGAGGAAGAAATCTCTGATCATGCAAAGTGTAAGTAGCCTATTTAGAGGGGTTTATCTTTTTAAGCAATTTTGTATGCTCAATCTATTTCTTCATACTGTTGCTGTAGGTGAACAGGGCAGTGTGCTTGTCCTCAAATTCTGCAATGTACAGAATGCTGTCTTACAATGAAATTCTAGAAGTTGTACCTGTAATAAAAAAGCTGGCAAACTGCCTTTTGGCTACACTCTGCGGACAAGGTTTTCAGAGGTTGACTGAGCCAAGAGAGGGATTCTGGACTGTTTGAAACAGTAAGGTGGAAAACACAGCACCCTACCTAGGGGAAATTTTGCAGTGGAAATGAGATCACCAGGAAGATCCAGTAACCTTTTAAGAAAAAAAACAGGCCAAGTAGTGCTTGAGGAAGCATGAGCACTCTTCTGTGCTCAGTCTTCTGAGGAGATGGGGCTTGACTCATGGGTGAGTTGATAGCTGGAGAGAAACACTCAATGCCACCCAGCGTGGGTGTCCAAAAGGAAAAACAAGAGTTGTTCCTTTACATTTGAAGTCATAAGTGAAAAAGATTTATCTCAGTTAAGACAGCTTTGCTTTGAGGGCAGATACAAATCTAAATTGTGATAGTTTGGTAGGCACAAAACCATGTGCTTTCAGGGAAAGCATCTGGCAGTTGGTGCTGGCTTACTGGCAGGCTGCTTTTGGAACGGCAACAAAACCTGGGAACTTTTCTAGAGCTAAGAAGTTGTTTAGATTTGTCAATTGAATTTACCGGGGTGATGTTACTGGAAGCAATTTATTTTGGATTGGGTTTGTTGGGTTTTTTTTACCCTCAATTGAAAGGTCTAATTGTAAAACTTGTATTAGGGTCCGTTAAGTGTATCTTGCTCAGCAACTTTCAGAGCAAATACAGCTGAGGAAGAGCTTTTTTGTCTCCTCATAAACACTGAATACTTTCAGAAGGAAATTAGATGCCTTATATCTTAAGTTTCAGATCTGTAAAAGCTGATCAGCACTGTGGTTAGACCATCTAATTAATGATCTGTTTCATGTGCTGTAAACTAAGGGAAAATGGTTGTTATAAGAAGGGTATAAATTTGGAAATGCAAAACCCGCTGAGGAATAAAGCCTTTTTAATTTTATTTTTTCTTTTTTGTCTTGAATAATGAATATTACCAGAAGAAGGAAAAGCCTTTAACAAATAAGGTCAAAGAATAATCAAAAAAGATAAAACAGATGTGTGTCAAGGTTGTGGTTGGATAGAGGAGGTTCAGTGGAAACAGTGATGCTAACATGACTGTAGAGTCTGTCAGCTGGAAGTTTGAGGCATGCACGATGGTCATCTTTAAGGCACTGATTTTATGAAAGGAGCAGCAACTGCTGTATTGCATCTTTCAGTTGAAAAAAAGGCTGTAGCTGTTGCTGAGGTGAGTGGGGGGCTGGAAGGGAAATTGAGTGCAGAAGTACATATTTCTGAATAATCTTGGGAAATAAGGGATGTATCCTTAGATTCATGTTACTGATACATCAAAAATGACAAAGGATATGTCTGAGAATCTTGGGGGAAAAAAAAAACCCAAACCCTAGTTTGAGTTCTTATATAAGGGATGCTCCAGAGTGTCTCATTGCTGGCCAGAAAGAAGCTAGATAAACTCTTACAATTGCATCTTCATAGCATCATTGCTCTTGGGGGTGATATCCCAATATATTATTCATTAATATTTTATTAAAAGCTCATGCCATTCGAAGAGGAATTGGTATTTTGTGTGAAAGAATTTATTCTAACCAGGCTGAAGCAACTGTTTCATAACATAAGGAAATATAAAAATACATTTTTATGGCATAAACGGAAAATAAAAACAGAAGGAAAATAAAATTGTTGGAGTAGATGGTCTTGTTGAATTTAGGATTAAATGAAACTAACATTTGAGCTGTGAGAATGTAGGGAGCATTAAGAACGTTAAGGATACAGTCAATTTAATTCAATCTGGACTAATGGTCAACCAGCCTAGTTCTCTGGGAGTATGTGCTGCCCTCCGTTTTCAAAGGGAAAGTATATGTAGCATAGAAACTGCAGACTGTAGTTGTATTCACTCCTAGAGACAGTAATGAGCATCTGGGATAGAGTCACTATCAAAGACCACAATGAAGATCAAGACTGAAGTTGTTTTCTCCTAGCAGTTTATGGTGAGTTGATAATCACTTAGGAGACTGTCCTGGAGCAGGTTTTAAAACATCTTTGATAGTTTTTCAGCAGGTGCCCTGCAAGTGAAGCCCTTGCAGAGGTGCCAGCCAACATGCCTGTGAGTTTTGTGTGTGGTGGTTGTGGTCCCTAAGCTCTGTGTTGACTCTTGTCTCTTCACAGGTCATTCTTCTGGATAGCCTTGCTCTGTTAAGGTGGAGCTTGTAGCTGTATTTGTTTTGCTTGGTTTTAACCTCCCTCCTGCAGGCAATGTCATGAAAATGGAACAATAGATACATCCCATTTCCCCCTGCTTGCTTAGGTGATTTCTGTTCTCTCTAGCCTTGGAAGACTAGAGATACAATGAGGGCTGTTTTACGTGGTAGCTGTAGGCGTCTGGAGAGAGAGCATACCAAAATGAGGCAAAGCTTCGGTCCAGAAGTGTTGACACTGGGTGCAGTGCTAAGTGCTGTGTGTGAGGGGAAACATTTTCTTCTTGTGGTAGTCCAGTCCTCTAGTTCAAGCAAGATGCGATTAAGGAACCTGTTTTTGACAGCTAATCTGCCAGAGCTCACACCTTCATGACAGGGTGATGAGAGGAACTGTGTAACCTTGTTATGGAAGCAGAGCTATTCCCTCTGCGTGTCACTTCTTCCCCCCAAAGGAGATTAAAACACAGGTGCCTAAACAGGGAGGATTATCTTTCTTGCCATTTACCCTGGCTCTAAAAGATTTGTCCTTTCAGCTGCTGCTTGAGAAAGCACTTTTTCTTTGCTTTTCCTTCTTTCAGAAAGATGATAGAAGAATATATAACATTATGAGTCTTTTGTACAAAATAACTAGTCTGGTTGTCCAATGCTTAGTTCCAGAAAACTTACTATGAGGAAATGAAGTTGTGCAATGATAGATGTCTGGGAAAGCATAGATAAAGCATTTAATGAAGCTGGCAAACCTCCAAAGCAGAAAATACTGTGCAGCTGTCAGCCTTTGGGGCTTTCTGGAAAGGTTTTGTAATTGATCTGCATATTGATCTCTTTCTTAAAAACAGATAAATCCTGTCTCTAGTGGTCTAACAGAAGGTACTAGCAGGGATAGCAGAGGGAGTTTGTTCTTCTGGGTGGGTATAAATGCCTTTTTTGGTCACTGTGGCCTCTTCCTTATTCTTCTGTACCTTGTAGACATGCTGATCATTGCACACAAGCGAAATAAGTTCATAATATGAAGTCCAGAATGTGAACTAACACATCTACATTTCTATAACAATATGTTTCAACTTTTTCCTGCCAGCTCCTACAGAGACACATTTGTCTGAAGAGAATGTTCCATCGTTTGATTTACTTGTGTAAGCTTGCATGAGCTAAAATCCCATAGT